GTGACTCACATCCTATGTTGTAAACTTGGTGTAAACCTCAGCCACATGACCTAGAGAGAGTCAGGTGCCTCTCAAGTCTTAGGCCTCCAGCTGAGGAGTAACATCTCACCCAGACAACAGACACACTCACATGTTGAATGATGGATGGGATGGGCCCGTGTTGGCCCAAGGGAGGCGCTCAATCAATATTGGTGACTGTTGCGATGTATGAGTGAAGGAGCACACACATCAGCTACCCAAGAAATGCTGGAGGATGGGCATTGCTAAGTATTCAGCACGGTTGTCTTCGTGCCCCACTCCCCAGCCCTCCTGGAAGGAAGTAACCAGATTCTCTAGGTGAGTGGGAGTTCTGAGCCTCCGGGACAGAAGGATGGGTTGCTGGCTTCACAACTCACTTGGAGAGAAGAGGGCGCTAGAGCCTTCGCAGGCACAGCTGAGGCTCCAAGGAGATGAAGCACCTCCCCAGCCTCCCATCTCAGACCTCCACAGTCTGAGCAAGTACCTGGGCGTGACTTATTAAGTCAAAAGCTGAAGAGCCACATTGGTGTCCAAAATGCCTGGGCTAAGTCCCTTGAAATAGTGCCTAGCATATATTAATCACTAAGTTAAGCAAATCGTGGTTTCTGCCATTCCTGGGCCAGAGCTTAAAACCTTTCTCCAAGGGTGTCCCCATTCCCTGACGTCCCATTCCTCCAGGCTCTGACTTTGAAGGATGCTCCCAGCTGTTAGGCCCCCATCCATCCCAGGCAAGAATAGAAACCAGCGCCTCCGGCCGCCCGCGGCCTCCCTCCCTCCCCCGGCAGCGATCGATGCGGCCTCAGCCGCTGGGGACGGGAACACAGGAAAGGAGGGGGCCGCCGGGCCTCCGCAGTAGTGAGGCGCAGCGCGGCCTCCGGGGCAGAAAACAGCCCCGGAGGCGCCTTTTGGAGACAGGCGCGCTGGACTCCCAGGAGGCCAGGACAGGTAAGGAGCCTCCCTCGGGGAGGGGCGTGGCTGGGAGAGTGGGAGGCGGAGATGGCCTGGGGATTCCTGGTGCTGGAGTCCCTTCTCCCAGACCTCCAAGGAGGGACAGTGTGGCAGAGATGGTCTTGCTTGCACATTCTGCAAAATGGGATTTAGAAAACTTGGGTGGTGTCAGGATATAACTGAGTATGCTGTGTGTGAGGAGCTCAGAGAAGCGGCCAGCATGCAGGGGTACTCACAGAAAGTATCAAGAGTGCAGAACCAGTCCCCTGAGAGGCCCACAGACCGTCTGTGTGATCTTGAACAAGTCACTCAGTCAGACTGACTGCGAGTCTTAACAAGAAATGTTTGTTGAATTAATTATCTGAATTCATACAGCAGGGAGGTGAGTGCCAGATAAATCCCCTTCTATCACCCTTCTAACATGTGATAGAAGAGGAATAAAAGCTGTATGTTTTGATGCCAAAGTCAGTGGAGGATGCCAGCGATGCACCAATTATGGGCCAGGGGCAGCACTACCATAAACATCAGCTTGTCTAATCCTCAGAGTCTCTCCAGTGTGGTCCAGACTCCAGAGGAGGGGACAAACCAGAAGAGGGCAATGGGTCCACTCAGTTCAACATCTGGGAAGTGGCAAACTCAGAATCTGAACCCAGATCTGATGAAAAGAAGGGGCACGGTTGTGATGTTTACTGAGCACCCATTGTGTACCAGGGATTTTGCGTGTATTCTCGTAAGAGTTCATCCAGTGCCATGCTCTCTGTTCTAGGTAAGAGAGCTAATGCCCAGAGAACAGTAGCCAACTAAGGCAATGCCCATAAAGCCAAGCCCAGTGTTAGTGAAGGGCATCTGGGCTCCAGGGCTTGGTGTGCCCTCCATCCCCATCCCCTGGAAGAAGGCATTACTGACCGCTCAGCACAGATGAGATTACACAGTTTCATGGAGCAGGGATGAGCCAGGATCAGGGATCAGTGGACAGTGGAAGAATCTAGCATTTCTGGAGTATCAACTAAGCCAGACAGTTTCCATAAACCATCTGGACCACCACCACCCTCCACCCCCTCCCCGGCTATCTCTGGAATGTGTGCTATTGTCTGCACTGTGTATTCTGCAGGAAACTAAGGTCTAGAGAAGAAACGTTTTAGTCAAGGGCCAGGTCCATTAAGGATAAAGTTAAATTGTGGTTTGCCTGACTCCAGAAGACAGTGGCATAGGTGGATAATTTAACAAACTTTCTGTGAGCCTGAAAACAATATTAGGCCACACAATCACTTTACCCACACGTTCAAGTGGATATTCTGATCCCTGTTGGGGAAGGTTATGAGGAAATTATGTGACTGTTAAGGGAACACAGAACCAAGGTTTAAGGTCGGGTCTGAAGGACACCACAGGCATATTATTACAAAGTCTATACCAGTAGCTCTCAAACTTGACCATGTGTTAGAATCACCCTCCAGGCTTCTTAAAAACAGACTGGCCGGGTGCACTGGGGTGTCTGGAATCCCAACACTCAGGAGACTGGGGCACAAGGATCAAAGGTTTGATATCAGCCTGAGTGAGCTGCATGGTGAGACTGTCTCCAAATAAATAATAAACAAACAAGTAAATAAAACAATATAAAAATACAGCGTGCAGGCTCCCACCTCAGAGGTTCTGAGTCATCAAACTCAGGGCAGACTGAAACTGCAACTTTGACCAACTCCTGTGATGAAGATGCTCTTAGTTCAGGGAACACAATCTGAGAATCAAGAGTCTCCCAACTGACTTTCTTAATAATCCTGGGTAGTAAGCCCTAACTAACCCCATCCTACAGAGGAAGATACTGAGGTTCAGAAGAGCCACCATACACATCTGGTTTCCTAAGCCCAAGCTTGTCCAGGAAGAGGAGAGATGTCCCACACTAGCGCCTAGCCGATGCCAGGCCATCCCGCCATCCTACCGCTTCTAAAGCCCTTTAAGGTAGGTCTCCCCATCTTTTGTGCCCTGGAGGAAATAGACGGGAAGATGGGTGATTTAGTCAAAGTCATCAAGTCGGGGGTTGAAGGATATTCAGACCCAGGCCTGACTTCAGTTCAAGGGGCATTCCATATCTGGGCGCCTACTGCATGCCTGGCACTTCACACAGTCTCCAGCACCCCATCTGGTGGATGGAGCCAAGGATTTTAACCCACAGGGCAGCACACTTGAGCCATGGTGAGTGAATCCCCGGGGCCGGGCTCCCGGGTGCCCTGGAGGCCAAGAGATGAGGCGCTGCGTGTGAACGTGGGCGGAGTGCGGCGGCTGCTGAGCGCACGCGCTCTAGCACGCTTCCCGGGCACACGGCTGGGTCGCCTACAGGCGGCGGCGTCCGAGGAGCAGGCGCGGCGCCTGTGCGATGATTACGACGCAGCGACGCGCGAGTTCTACTTCGATCGGCACCCGGGCTTCTTCCTCGGCCTGCTGCACTTCTACCGCACTGGCCACCTGCACGTGCTGGACGAGCTGTGCGTCTTCGCCTTTGGCCAGGAGGCCGACTACTGGGGCCTGGGCGAGAATGCACTGGCCACGTGCTGCCGCGCACGCTACCTGGAGCGGCGGGTGACGCGGCCTCGTGCCTGGGACGAGGACAGCGACGCGCCGAGCAGCGTGGACCCATGCCCCGACGAGATCTCCGACGTGCAGCGGGAGCTGGCGCGCTACGGTATGGCCCGCTGCGGTCGCCTGCGCCGCCGCCTCTGGCTCACCATGGAGAACCCCGGCTACTCGCTGCCCAGCAAGCTCTTCAGCTGCGTGTCCATCGGCGTGGTGCTCGCCTCCATCGCAGCCATGTGCATCCACAGCTTGCCCGAGTACCAAGCCCGGGAGGCCGCGGCAGCAGTGGCGGCAGTGGCCGCGGGTCGCAGCGCAGAGGATGTGCGCGATGACCCGGTGTTGCGCCGCCTGGAGTACTTCTGCATCGCTTGGTTCAGCTTCGAGGTGTCATCGCGCCTGCTGCTGGCTCCTAGCACGCGCAACTTCTTCTGCCACCCGCTCAATCTCATCGACATTGTGTCGGTGCTGCCCTTCTATCTCACACTGCTGGCTGGCGCGGCGCTTGGAGATCTGGGCAAGGTGGTGCAAGTGTTCCGCCTCATGCGCATCTTCCGTGTGCTCAAGCTGGCACGCCATTCCACTGGGCTACGCTCTCTGGGCGCCACACTCAAGGTAGGATGACTGAGGCCGGGTTGAAGCAGAGGGAAGATGTAGGGCAGGGTGGGTTAGTTGTTGCATTTGTAGCCTTGCCAATACAGGCACCCAGGACTACCTGCTACCCATTGAGCCAGGCATAAGGCAAGAGGCCAGATATACATTCATATTCACCCTGATCTAACCCCATGACTTTGTGAAGATTACCGGACTTGGAGTGATAACTCGATTAAGAGCCCTAACTGCTTTTCCAAAGGATTCAGGTTTGGCACCCAGCTCGCAACAGTCTGTAACTTCAGTTCCAGGGCATCTGATGCCCTCTTCTGGCTTCCACAGGCACTGCACACATGTGGTGCACAAATACACATGCAGGCAAAACACCCCTACATGCAAATAAAGATAAATCTCAAAAAAATATATAAGTAAATAAATAAAAGAAAGGCTTGGTGCTACCTGTATGTCCCCAGAAGAATACAGAAAAATTAACATATAAAAATAAATAAATACAGAAAATAAAATGGAGTGAGCCACGGGACTGGAGACATCACCCAGTGGTTAAGAGCAGGTTCTGCCCTTGCAGAGGACTCAAATTTGGTTTTCAGCACCCACATCAGGTGACTGGCAGTCACTTCTGACGGCAGCTCCAGTGGGCTCCAGCACTTCTGTGGGCACCCAGACACGCATGCATATAGCCACAAGCATACACATAACTCTAAATAAATCTTTTAAAAATTAAAGTGAACCACTATTGTCCGAGAGACAGAGAGAGAGACAGGGATACAGAGAGACAGAGAAACAGAGAGAGAAGGAAAGAGAGGGAAAAAAGAGGAAGGGCTTTTGATGTACCTGTCTAATATCGAGTAAAACAGCGCAAACAAATATGCAAAGCAGGATGCTAACTGGCTTCTCTTTTGGTGCCTTTCCCCTAGCATCATTGGAAGGCACAAGTAGTCTCAGGTCACTCAGCCTAGAAATAGCCTAGAGCTAACACTTACTATGCATAGGATGAGTGTTCTGTGCCAATTTTACATTCGTTATTGATTAGTCCTTAGGACAATTTCCTTGGGAAGATGCTATAATTTATTTTCTTCCCGTAAATGAAGTTCCTGGGGGTGGTAAGGCTGTTTTATAAGCCTGGTTGCAGTTTATTGGCCACTGGCCCTGCTCAGGGGGTGAAATTAGCCTGGTTCAGGAAAGGAGGCAACATGAACAACTTGGACCACAATCTGATAAGGGAACAGAATGAAAGTCAGCAGAGGGGACACAGAAGGAGGAGATTTGGGGGTTTGAGGTACTGAGGGGCATGGACTCTGGACCCATGTTTTTGTTTCTTTTGTTGTTGTTCCGAGGGCACTGAGGAGCTTGTACTGTCACTACAGATGTGGAAACTGAGATTCTAAGAGGTGATAGGACTCGTGGGAGGCTCCTTAATAAGTGGTGGACCCCAGAGAACAAGCCAGCCATGCCCAGCTCCAGCCTTTTGTGCTCTCCCAAGCCCTAGGCAACCCTGTGAAGGATCCCCAGAAAGACACTCACAAGTCCCTCCCAACCTTGATGACACAGCATCTTGTGTGTCCTAATAACGCAGGGCAGCCAGGATACTAGCCACTGGTGTGTGACCTGGGAAGAACCCTCGGGTACCAAGCAGGTACGGGGAAATATGTTAGCCAGACCCCTTTAATTCAGAATCACTCTAGGGAAGAGCCTTATGCTCCCCCAAACCTTCCTACTTTGCAGAGAATCAGAGCTTGAGGCTCCTAGCTTTGTCCACAAGGAGGAAGAAGAGTGATAACCAGAGCTGTGCGAGTCAAGACACAGGTGTAACATAGCATGGCGTGGGTGGGGGGAGGGGGTTGCTACTAAAGTGAGGTCCCAGACCACCAACAGCTTCCTCAAAGCTTGCCGGAAAGGCAGAATCTCTGGCTCTGCCCCAGACCTACTTAACTGAGTTCTAGCTTTTAAAGAGACCCCCTACATAATTCTTCTATATGTTATAATTTGAGAGACCCCACTGTAGAAAAGGTTCTCAGCATTGGTGACATTTGAGGACAGGTCATTCTTCATTGGGGAGGAGGGTGTCTTATGTTCTGTGAGATAAATACTAAGCCTTATCCCTGGCCTGTGTGCATGCATGCCAGCCTGTGCCCACTATGACGACCTAGTACTCCCTTGGTGGGCAAGGCGAGCAGAACTGCTTTGTTTGAAAATCAGGCACCAATAAACAAGTGCATTTATTCTTTAGATAGCTTAGGGAACTCATCTCCTCTCAGTTTCCTTGTGGGGTAGACAATATTTTTATACTTGTCAGAAATGTTATAGGGCAATTCAAACATACACGAAACCATTTCTTTGCATTATGAAATATAAACTGTGGTTCTCTTGGTTCTGTGAGTGCATAAAAAACACCAGGATGCTAATCAGTGTGGCCAAGCAGGCACCATCTGCACAGAAATTGGGCCTGCGTTCAATCACAGGGAGTTCTGTTGTTTAGCGTAGTTGGAAAAGTGCAGTTCAGAGTCAGGGTCTTGCCATCAGTTCTACCATTTGATGCTGGACATTCTTTTATACCCCGTAAGCCTCTGCGTCTCCCGAGAATGTAAGTCCAGATAGCCCTGACTTGCGTTCACACATTTTCTTTCAGCACAGCTACCGTGAGGTGGGCATCTTACTGCTGTACCTGGCCGTGGGTGTGTCAGTATTCTCGGGTGTGGCCTACACCGCGGAAGAAGAAAACGTGGGCTTTGAGACAATCCCCGCCTGCTGGTGGTGGGGCACCGTGAGCATGACCACAGTGGGCTATGGGGATGTGGTGCCCGAGACTGTGGCTGGCAAGCTGGCGGCCTCAGGCTGCATCCTAGGTGGCATCTTGGTGGTGGCGCTCCCCATCACCATCATCTTCAACAAGTTTTCCCACTTCTACCGGCGCCAGAAGGCACTGGAGGCGGCGGTGCGGAGCAGCGGGCAGCGTTCCTTTGAGGACTTGCTGAGCAGCGTGGACGGGGTATCAGAGGTGTCTCTGGAAACATCTCGAGAGACTTCTCAGGAGGGGCGGTCCACAGACCTGGAGACCCAGGCCCCCAGTGAGCCTGCAAAACCTCAGAGTTATTAAAACCAGGGCTCTGCATTCCCTCCCCACAGCCTCAGAGTCAGCAAATAGAGCAGATTCCTCCCCTGCTTAAGTTCTGTATGGGAGTCATCCACCTGAGCAATGAGACCTAAGCCCGAGGCAGGATGATAGTACACAACAACCTCCTTTGAAGTAGATACGCACCAAGAGGAGGAAGAGGATGGCCTCTATATGAGCCCCGTTAGCCCTGTGCTGGCAGATAATTATCCCCATTTCACAGATGAGGGAACTGAAGTTCACCTGAATGTCACGGAGCTGCTATAAAGAAGTCATCTTTTAATACTAAGTCTCAGGAAGGAGCTGGAGGCTAAGTCCTTACACAATCTGTAGGGTCCATAGCACAACCGTCTTCAGTACTACTTCCTAGGGCTGACTTATACAGAAACCTGAACAGACCCTTCTGGGACTCAGACCCAGCTCTGTACCTGCTTGGGAAAAGGTGGCCAACCCCTGGCCCCAAAACTAGATCCTAGCCCATCAGTCACAACTGGTGACCCAGAGAGAAGATTATGGAGGAGGAACTGACTTATAACCAGCGCAGCTTTGAGCTCTTGGTGGCAGAGGGCTGCTGTGCGTGCTCCTGTCCTGCTTGGTCTTTGTCAACTTGACACAAGCTGAAGTTATCCGGGAAGAGGAACCTCAACTGAGAAACACCTCCATCAGATCACCTGTAGGCAAGCCTGTGGGACATTATCTTGATTAATGACTGATATGGGAGGGCCCAGCCTGCTGTGGGCAGTACCATCCCTAGGAAGGTGGTCCTGGGGTGTATAAGCAAACTGAACAAGCCATGGGAGCAAGTCAGTAAGCCGTGTTCCTCCATGGTCCCTGCTTCAACCCCTGCCTCCAGGTTCCTGCCTTGAATCCCTGCCCTGGCGTTCCTCTATGGACCATAACCTGGGATATGTAAGTCAAATAAACCTTTTCCTCTCCAAGTGGCTTTTGGTCATGGTCTTTATCACAGCAATAAAACCTGACTACCACAGCTCCCCTTCCACCCCTGTCCATCACACAGAACTCCAGCCCTGCCATGAGTAGCACCCAGGCAAATGTTTGAGATTCTTGTCCTCTTTGGCCAGTGCTGGTCCCATCATCCTTGATAGAGGTAAATCTTTTACACTCCCCTGCCAAATCTTCTATCCCTTTGGCTGAACAAGTTGTGAAGGGGTCCGGTCCCCACTTTTTTATACATTGCAACCAAGCACCCATTTCTCTATCATCGGGGCCTCCCTGAGGCCCCAGCTGTTCCATCACACTGAACCCCAAGGTAGAAGACATCATCTGGCTCATCCCCAAGATCAGGGCAGGGCAGGTTAGTACATATTGCCTAGACTGAGCAATTGCTACAGCCTGCTGGGCCCCAGGTACTGGGAGGAAGAAGGAAATAGAGAGAGACCTTGTTAATGAAAGAGTGAACAACATTGCAAAGGAGGCCCACAGGGCAGTCCATCCCCAGCCCCGCTTTGGTTTGGGAACTTTTAACAATGACTCCATCATGGTTTGTCACTCACTTATTTAACAGATCATTATTGGAAGAGCCTTAAGCTTAGGCTTCCCATGTGACCTACCTTGCTTTCAGATGCATGATGATTTTAGTCTATTTCAGACGTTTTCCAATGCCTTTGGAGGAGGAATGCACTCTCCAGTGTCCACAGTGTCCCACAGCTTCTCCTCTGTCCCCTCTCACACAAGCCATCATGTTCCACCCTCTTCTGACCTTGTCAGATTTGCCTTGGCTGTTGGACCTCTGTCTGACTGCTTACCAGGTTCAAGAGGTAGTCATGGTAGAGAACACAAATGTCCCTCTACTAATAAGGGAACTAGTCGGGGAGACAGACTCAAATGTAATAGTCACAAACTTTCATAACAGTTAACTTTACTAGGTAGGAAACCAGGAGCATGTGTACTCTACCAGAGTCCGTAACCTGAGACCATCAGAGAATGCTTTCCTGAGTGACAGACAGTCTAACCTGCTCTGATAAGGATAAGTGGGTTCCAGGGAAGAGTATTCCAAAGGAGAGTACACAACAGACGCCCAACACATGGATTCCCAGTCTCTGGACTGTGGCAGACACAGGAGCTGAGCCAAAAGGCCTCTGGGGAGCTCACCATGTTAATCATCTTTCCAGCATACTTGCCTCCTAACATCTGTGTCCAGCTGTGCCCAGCTGAGGGACAGACTGGAAAGCTTCCCGCACGCTCCTTTGGCCTGGCTTAACACACACCAGACTTTCTGATCCTTCAAACAGAACTCTAAACGTGGCTTGGGGGCAGATGGGGGGGCGGGTAAATGTCTGCTGCAGGTTGTCTGCCATCCCAGCAGCAATGCAGTGGCTCTCTGCTGCTCCGGTGCCTTGGTGGAAAGTGTTACACAAACAGAGACCCGTGCCCAAAAACCTGCCTCTGCTAGCCTGGAGCTGGCTGCTGGATTCGTTGAGTGACGGGGGAGAGTGGGCAACCAATAAAATGGAACAACTTAGAGACCACATCCTCAGAGGCTTTGTCTGTGGTAGTTCCAACCAGAGCAGTTTGCATGGACAGGAATCCCGTTGGAATTAACATGGTGAGAAAGTGTAACTCATCAGGCTTTGTGGCACAGGCCTATAATCCCAATGATTAGAGAGGCTGAGAAAGATCTCAAGTTCAGCCTGGGCTACAGAGTGAGTTCGAGGCCAGCCTGGGAAACTTAGTAAGATCAAAATAAAAAGGGCTGAGATTGTAGTTTAGTGAGAGAGCACTTGTCTAGAATGCATGAGACCCTGGGTTCAGTCCCCAGCATCAAAAAAAAGAAACCAGTTAATGAAACAAATAATGAAAACTATGAGTGACAGCAACAAGTACGAGTCCGTGGTTGCAAACACTAGAAACTAGCCAAAAAGAAAAAAAAAAAAGAAAGAAAGAAAAAGAATTGGAAGGTATATTCATTTTTAATGGTTCTATAACAAATTACCACACACTCAGTGGCTTAAAACAAATTTATTATTACATAGTTCTTAAAGCCAAAACTCTAAAATCAAGGTGTAAGCAGGGCCCTGCTTCTGGGAACTGTAGGAGGAGAGGCCCCCCTCCCCCCCACCTCTTCAGCCCTTGGCATCATTCCTGTCTCTGCCCCTGGCATCACATCACATTTTCCACTGTGTGTTAAATTTCCCCAAACTTTTCTCCTATGAAGATACTTTTGATGACATTTAGAGCTCATGGGGGATGATCCAAGATGATGTCATCTCAAGATCCTTTTAAACACAATTGCAAAGAAGACCACATTCTGAATAAGGTAACATTTAGAGGTCCCAGAGATTCCCGGGGGACATGTGAGGCCACCATTCAGCCTACTGAAGTGGAGTACATCAAGTCCACCCAAAGGAAGAACTGACTGACAGGGCCTGAGGCAGAAGAGCCATGAGGAGAGTTTGGGGGACCTCAGCAGCAGCCCAGAATCCTTCTGTCTAGGGACTGCCTTCCAGACATTCACCTCTGATCACCGTGTGTGTGTGTGTGTGTGTGTGTGTGTGTGTGTGTGTGTGTGTGTGTGTGTGTGTGTGTTCCCTCAGAGCTGGAGTTATTCTAGCCGCAAATGCTCTTACCCACTGAACCATCTCCCAGGTCCATCCCTGTGGTGATATTTTATTTGTGCAACCCAACAAGGTTTGTCTGAGGATCAGAGGAAAAAGCCAGCCACTATATTAAACATAGAAGTCAAGCAATGGTAGCACACGACTTTAATCCTATCATTCAGGAGGCAGGGATCTGTCAGGATCTCTGTGAGTTCAAGGCCACACTGGGAACAGAGCCAGGTGTGGTGGCACACACCTTAAATTCCAACACTAGTTAACCATAAAGGTTTGGAGGTCTGTACAGCCAGACAGGAAGTGACAGAGCTGGGTAGGAAGAGGAAGTGATGTAGCTGGACAGAGAGAGCAATGAGATGCAGAACAGAAAGGCTTATAGGTGTGGGTACACAGGAAGTAGGTCTCTTTTAGAAGCTGGGGGTTGGTAAGGTGAGGTTGACTGTGGATTTTCCTATTCCTCTGATCTCTCAGGTTTTAACCCTGATATCTGGTTCTGGGTTTTTTATTTAATAAGACCGTTTAGCAATTTGTCTACACATCCCCCTGCATTGTTTGCTTACAGATCCAGTTTCCCTCCAGGAAGGACGGTGGTTTGGCTGAGTTGGCTGCTTTTCTCCTGGTGGGCCTGGAGGGCAGAGTGCTGGGTTTTCAAGTGCAACAGACGGAATGCAATTAGTAATTCAAAGACAGGGCCATCCATGTGTTGTCACTTAAAGGAGGGTCACAAATAGCTGGTGTCCACTACAGTCCAACCCTGGGTTTCTCAACACACCTCACGCATGCACGTGTGGAAACTGTCAAACTGTCACATATAATCCAAACACTGATCCCCCCTCCGAAGGGAAAACAACCCCAAATCATGTCCTGTTAATGGATCCAACTCTTAAGTTCATTCTTCCATTGGTGCCACTTATCCTTCCTCAATATTCCGAAAAGAGCCAGCGGCTGTCACCAGCACGCTCTGTGAATGAGACACGAGTGAGGAGATGAGAGCCTCAGCCTGAGGACCCCGCGGCCTCATCACATTGCTATGACACCCGGAGGCTGCTGCGGGCGCGGAGAATGTGATCTATTTGCCATGTCAGGTTCACCCTGCCTTTGGCTGGCCCTTCAGTCATTGAGATTCACTATCTGATAGGGTGACCTAACGCTTTATTCCTAGAGACTCTGAACCCTTGAAAGTGCTGGGAGATGCCTCAGGGAATTCCCTGGTGTTGCTTAAAACTCCTTGATGCCTTCTCTCTGTGTAGCAGTACTGGAATTTCCCCTTGATGGTATAGTTGATTACTCAGCTCAGCACTGTGACTCCCTTTATATTTGTATTCTTGAGGACACGAGCAGAAATGCCCAAGTGACAGACTCAATCTCCAATTCATGGAGCTCACTGCTGTATCCATTAGAGAAGCATTCTGCTCATGGGCACCCAAACCTCGAAGTTTGCAAAACCCAAGCCACAGAGCTAGGAGACAGTGGATCTGCCAGTGGATCAGTGTGCTTCTTTGGAACCACACATACAGTTCTTCAATGGTGAGCACCTTTTTACGCAGCCAGCATACATCAGTGGTCCACACGAGCCCCTGGCTGTGCTTCCTGTTGGAGACCTTGCCAGGCATGCTTCATTTCTGTTTAGGTGGAGGACACAGTACCGTTTCAAATGGGCATCTTTAGATACGTGATTACTTGATGTCCATAGTTAACCTGACATTCATCTTCAAACCCCAACAACAAAGCAAAATCCGACACCAGAGCCCGTTACATGAGAAGAATATGTGCCCTTCACAATGTGGGAGATAAATCCAGTATGTATGTATCCGTAAAATTCTATCATTTCCCTCCTGTCTTCCCTTCTCTTCTCTTCTCTCCCTCCCCTCCCTTCCTTTCCTTCCTCTTTCTGGCACATATGTAACATGTGTGCATGTGTACACAGAGACAAAGGGTTAATGTCATGTGTCTTCCATGATTGCTTTCCACCTTGTATTTTGAGACAGTCCCAGCCCTCCTGACCTAGACATTCTTCAGGAGCCAGGGCAAAACCATGCTGGGTTCACTGGAGGCCATACTTAGTGGGATTTATGGGAAGAAAGCACAAAAAAAGTCCAGTCCAGCACAATGTCTTCAGAAATCTTTTATTCCCTTCCTCTACAGGATGC